GTAAGATAAAAGAAGATCGTAAGTGAATAAGGAAAGGAGAGGATAAATTCTTATTGTCACCTCCTCAACATTACAAGAGATCCCATATATATAGGGGGAGTGTAAGTCGGCCAAAGTTACTTCAAGGAGAAGTAACTATTATCCTATAGTATAAATAGATAAGCATCATCTATAACACAATGGATGATTATTTACAATAGAATTCAATTATTTAACAACATATAAAGGGAAAAAACAAAATATTAACATCAACAAAAGTACAAAAAAATTAAGTTTCAAAAAAACAAAAAAGGTACAAAATCAAGAATTGACTGAAAACTAAACCCGTTCTTACTTGTGTTTGAAGCAATCTATAATCAATGATAACGATGATAACTTCTCTGACCGAATTGTCTAGTCTCTCTTACCGGAGGAGACAAAGCAAAACATAGTTTTCCTCGTCCATATCGAAACGACCAGATTTCAATCACGTCATCGACATCAAACTCGTTGTTAGCAACCACATCATTCCAACCATCAACTATTACATAACTCCAATTTCCACCAATCTTCCACTTCCTCAAATCAACCACATGCTCACATAACATAGGATCAAACAAAACCACACTCACACCTGTTTGACGAATCTTCAATTCCGATTGTTCGTATATGATTCTTGTCTCTTCCTCTGTCAGAAAATCCGAACTAACCACTTGGTTTATAGGGATTGAGAGACGTGATTGAGCTTTGCTTAGATCACTGCGATGGAGCTTCCTCTTCTCTATGATCAGATTTGAATCGTATCCATTCTCTTTTCTCATCAAGTTTATAAGCCACTCGGGTCTCGAAGATAATGATGATGATGAAACCACCTTGCGTTTTAACGGATTGATCCCTCTTGTCGGAATGTCAACTAGGGTTCTCTTTTTCTCTTCTAAAACCGTTTTAGATGCTTCTGCTAACTTCGTTAGCTTCCAAATCTTAAGATCATCAGATTTGCTCGAAGACATATAGAACAAACGGAAATAAACTAGAAGGAAACAAGAAAGAGATAGGGAGATAGAGGTTTCTTTGTACGCAAGGAACTGAGATAAAATAGGGAATATATATATCTTCTTAAATAACCTAATGGTTTTTAGTCTGGTTCCAATTAGGTTTTGGCTCTTGTTCTTTTCCTAATCTTACTTGGATTTACTTAAATCCAAAGAAGACTCTATAATTTTCGAATGATATTTCAGATTCTTAGGTCTAATTGTATTCGATTTTCTTTTTTGTTTGAGATTATTGGCAAAGAAAATTACGTTTAGTGATATGCTGTATTCATCAAAGCCTAAAAAGATATATATTAGCTATTTGTAGATTGCATTAGTAGTACGTTTTTTTTGTTCATAAAGTGTCTAGTAGTATGTTTTACGGATTCTAAAATATTTTTGTAGCTACAAAGTATCTGATAAATCAATAGTACAAGTGTGGAACCACTATACGAAATATTCTAATTCTTGATATGTGCCAATTTATCTGAGTGAGTTGGTTTTTAGGTAGAGATTAATTTATTTGTAAATAAATATCGTATGTCTCTTGTTGATGATAGTTTCTAAACTACTAGTAGTGAATTGCATTTGTATTTATCTTAAATATTTAAGGCCATGAGAAAGAAATCTCTCATCCCAAACATTTTACTGCCACTAACCTTTTTAATTTATGAATGTCAGTATTGTTACTATTTTAATGTGCTATCATGCAATGTCCTTAAAAGAATATCATCCAT